AGAGGGGCTCTTAGGTCTTAGAAGGGCAGGATTGTGAACAGTGCCGAAAGGACTTCAAGATAGATGGCTATTTCAGTAAAAAAAACATATAAATATGGAACACCCCCTTTGCAAGTAGTATCAGTAGTTAACAGTAAACTTATTTGACCATATATGGTGCTTGCTTCAATCTTTAAAATGTGGACCATTCCCTTTAATTGTTTTGAGGTATCAGCAGAGTGTGTTCTAAAAAGCATGCCCCAGTCGTGGGTTATCTTCAGTGTCGCTGCACTGAACATCACAGCGCTTTCTTTTTCTTGTTTGTGAGTCGACTTTTAAGTATTCAACGTCATAAATGCACGGGGATTGGGTAACAGTAACAAACTTTCATTGCCTTCGAGTCCAATAGTGATTTTACGTGACTTGGCGACTGACGTAGTAACTTAACCCGCGCTCGGCCAGGAGAGGTGAATTCCCCTACCGTTGTTTTGTGAGCACGGGTCAAAAACGAACGCTCACGGCAACACGAATTTTTAGTACTCTGCTCATCTATTAAGTTGGCATCCTTCCCTTTTTCTGCCAAAAGCATTGGCTAAGATCAAGTCAAAGAGCCTCTAACCTCTAAACAACCTCTAAACCTCAGCATCTAAAAATTGACCATCCATAACATGTTTGCTGGTTATTTGGGGTAGGCATCAATCATAGTCGTCATAGTAATGGAACACGATAATGCTTACAAGTTGAATTTTTCAGATTTTTCAGAAAAGGGAGGGCAGTGACCAGAGGGAGTTATCAGATATGATATGTATGTGCTATCAAGATACGTGCTATCTTTCGTGAATATTGCAAACTTTGCACGCATTTTGTGCAGATTCGGTGTTTGTATGTGAGCCAAAAAGGCACGAACCTACGAACCCCACCACTGTATGATCACAGATCACATGACCTTGGCCCAGGTCATGATCTACCTGTATAGGTACCTTTAGCAAGATACATGCTAAGCTCAAAATAGGCAGTTTTAACGGTAGTTTTAGACGTAGAATGTAAATACTACTTCAGTGAAAAACATGCGATACCAATGTGATGCATAATGCGGTCACCATAAGTCACGTGAGGACATTCAGGACCATATCAGGTCATCCAAGGTCAACGACTATGTTGCCAATAGCGGCCCAGAGAGGCTAGATGAACGTGTGCAACGCGTGTAACCGTCTCCTCATTGTGTTGTACAGCTGATGATGCATATATCATATACCAGCGTGCCTGTTTTCAGACTGTTACAAATACATTGCCAACCGTCCAAGGGACTTTGTATGATGTAGACATCAGCCATGCGAACTTGAGTGCCTGTAGATGTACAATACACTTTTGTGTTATTTCCATTTTTATTATTTTGTTAATATGGTAGATGTACAATACTCAATTTCCGAACCACAGCAAATCACTGTACTGGTCACACAGACTGAGTTATCACCTCCATTCCTAATTTGGATGACTCACAACTTTGATCTAAGCTGACCTTAGATTGCCCTCCAGGTCAGCTGGTGTGTTTAGTCTGGAATGTCTTTACTCTCACAGCCTCACTCAATACAATTGACTCAGTCAGAAGCACATTGTGAAAAGCATCGTTCTTGTAGGCTACTGGTAGACCGACTTTGAACGGTGGCCTGAACTTACCGGGTCCATCTGTGGTCATGGAAATGATCAGAACAATCTCCCACAGTCTTAAAACTTATTTTCGTGTTCTCGATATTCGTCTTGATATGTTAACACAGGTTTTAACAGCATCTATTGAAACAATTGTGTTTGGCCTTCCGTGACCTCTCGTGACCTCGTATTTCACCTAAGATCTACGGTGTCTGGAAGTTGGGGATCCCAGTGGGAAAGTCAGTTTCCTCCGGTTGTATCAGACCCCTGGCCAGGCGCGGGTTAAGTAACGGGTTTAATATTGCTATGGTAAGCATGTGTGCACTAATTCGAAAACGTTTGCGTACCAAGGTGCTTCTGATTTACGTGAGCTACGTACTGCTTGAACATTTATGACACTCAAGCAGTATTCAGGATTGTCCCAAACAGCCATATTCTCTTGAACTCGCTCTCACACCCATGGCCCTGGCCCCATCTCCCAGTTCAAACCCTGGCTGCATAGCTGCCACCTCCCGCCCGCGGGCCGCTAGTCACTGACCTTTGTCAGGCAGGCAAGCCGGGCTGACCCGCGGCCCGAACGGCACATCGGCTGCAGTTTGAGCAGCGCGATGTCGTTGTCGATGGTTGCGAAGTTGAAGCGCGGGTGGCGGTAGATGGCCGTGACGTTTGGCCACCCAGAAGCCGTCGCCGGTCGCGTCCGACACGTTGTGGGCGCCGAGCAGAAGGCGGATCTCGTCGGGACGCATTTCACGCGGCCGCCGCATGCCCTGCAAGAACCTGCCGACAGGGGACGCCGTTCCCTGTCGCTGGCTGACGTCTGCCGCGGCGCCGGCCGGCTGGACGGCGGTGCCTATGCCACACGTGCGAGCTGATGAAGGATCTTCGTGGGTCCACGGTATTGCCTCAACAGAGTGGGTCTAGCCTACTGCCTGGCACGACTGGCCTAGCCAAACCCCTCGCCACGTTACGTCACACACGACGCATATCATTTGTGCGGAGCAATTGTCTTAACGCCTACATTGAATCATCACGACAATGGACGAAGCATTGCGCACCTTAAACCATCGGTTGCTTAGTTAGAACATCATAAGCGTATTCATCGTCCTGCCCGACGATAGGCGCGCGGCAGGACGCCAGCGGCGCCGTCGTGTCCCACTGACATGTTGGTGCAGTGCGCGGCTGTGACCACGCCGCTGCTGATGAGCGTGCCGCCACTAGAGCGTGTGCCGTCGGCCGCTGCCGTCACAGACCGGCCTGCCAGGGCCAGGCGCCGCGTGCCGCCTCCCGGCCGCCGACCACGCGCCCGCGACACGCCGGCCGCAGCCCGCACACTGCGACAGCGCCGTCCCCGGTCAGCGCCGCGTCTCGGCACCCGACACGGTGCGCCCCGCTGCCAGCACCGCTGCTGACTGACGGCGCGTGGTGGGGTGCATGCGCCGACAAGTGTTTTACCTCCTCGATCAGGCGGGCGGTGCACTGCCTGAGCCTTGCTTGGCAATGCAGCAGCGAGGAGTCATCGCTGCCTGAACCTCACTAGAGGGCAGTGCAGCAGCGGGGAAGCCATCGCTGGTTAAACCTCACCAGAGGGCAGCGCAGCAGCGGGGAAACCATCGCTGTTAAACCTTACTAGAAGGCAGTGCAGCAGCGGGGAAACCATCGCTATTCAAACCTCACTAGAGGCAGTACAGCAGCGGGGAAACCAACGCTGCTTAAACCTTACTAGAGGGCAGTGCAGCAGCGGGGGAAACCATCGCTGCTTAAACCTCACTAGAAGGCAGCAGCAGCGGGGAGCCATCTCCGTTCAAACCTCACTAGAGCGCAGTGCAAAGCGGCGGGGGGGGGGGGGGCAGACATTGCTCAAACCACATGCCATCATTAAAGCATTACCATTAAGATGTGTGCCAACAGTCCGAGTCCGAAAACACAATGCCCCGTTTTTGGACCACAAGTGCGTCAAGCGCAGATCCCTGATGCATGTGTTCTGCCGACGGCGTCCGCCCGCAGCTGCAGTCCACATGCTCCAGTCCCGCGCGAATGAGCCAGCGCCCCAGCAGACAGTCAGCGCGCTTGGTCGGAGCAGAGGAGGACTGTCCGCCGGATCGCTGAGGCCTCGACCATTCGTGACCAGCAGACAAACCTCAATACTCAGATTAACGTTGGGCCCGTGACAGCACCGTGCATTAAAACATGCCTGATGCACTTCTTAATGTGAACTTGCATGGGTAGTGTGGAACTTTCGTCACTAACACGGTCGCTAAGTGGATCCGTCATCGTAGTGCGGCACTACTCAGGAATTCCCTTTTCAGGTTCGTAGGGAAGCCTCAGCTGAATATATAGCCATTGCTCAAACACTTTTTGCACTCACGTATAATGCCCCCTGCATAATTAGCAATGGTTATTCAATTATGTTTGTAACTGCGAACATGTTAGATCAAATTAATACTGCATTCGCGCCCTGCCAGTGGCAAACAAAGGAATTGAAAATGACGCGTTTAAGTAGATTAACACCGTTGGCATCTTTTTAAAACATTGTGTGCTGGTACACACAAATCACGTAGCACAGTGGAATGCATGACACCCCTTGATAGGCTGTCTGACACCGCTTATGACACGCTTTGAGGAGCGTTTGCAAACAAGTCTTGTGAGGATTGATAGATTCATCGTAGCAGACGCTGGTATGTCTGGAAAGTTTGCTATTAAAATGATTGCCTCCCATCCACATTACGAAACGCCGCCCCCGTTTAAACGATGTTCACCTGGGAAAAGGTGTTATCGATGCACAGAATAACAGTTTCCATGAAAGCAAAATACCATACCATGCCGCCGAGTGGCTGATCTCAAAATCAATACCCGTTGTTGCTCCTTTAATCTAATGGTCTGGTACCGTCCCTGCACTTGCAGAGGAGGTGTCCACTTGTAGTAGTGATAAGTGGCATTAATGTGGTAGTGTGGTGCCAGCTCTCCTGTGGCGCGTTCTGTTTGACTCCGACGCGTTTATTTCTAAGAGAGCTGGAAGAACGAAGGTCTCTCAACAACGAGGCTCAAAAGTAACATTGGTGATGTGAGGAGTGCTCCTGAAATCACTAACGATAGCCTGTGGCCTTGTGTAGCTCCATAAAAGGACACAGGTTAAAAAGGGGCAAACACTTTTCATAGTACAATATGTCACGAAAATATATTAGTTGTGGATAACCAAAGCTAGTCACATCTTACCTTCATTCAAGGTGATTCGATCATTGGCTACGAAGCCACCCGTTCTCTCCAACAATGCCCCTTCCAAACTCACAGGAACACTGCTCAGCACCAGGGAGCAGAGAGGCAGCAGGGTCACAGAGAGGGTCAACAAGCTTCGGATCGGGCAGCGGGATAGCCGCATGGTCAGGGTGAGCGCTGACATGCCGCACGCCACACGACCCACCCTCGCACGCGATTGCCGCGCCTGGCGCCTTCACACAGTTGTCCAGCCCTGTGGAGCAATTACACAGGTGGGTAAGGGCCAACCGGCTGAACAGAAGCGCTCGATGATGAGCCTGTACTGAACTTGACATGCGACTGAGCTGAACTAAATCAGCGTTAGCGGAGGCGCTTCGGTCAGGGTTCAGGTCAGGTTACGGATCAGGCTAGGCACCCGAATATTTTCTATAGCTAGAACATAGGACGGATGACCTACCAGCATTAAATCATTCGAACATGAGTCAGGCATATGCTTGCATCCCGCACACGGATCCCAGGATCAAATCATTTTGCCTTGGATTTCGGGTCTTGCAGGATCCATGACCCTTTTGAGAACTTATCTCCTTTTGAGAACATGACCCTTTTGAGAACGGGGAGTCTCCTGTGATCCGTTTTGGTGTCTTTCTAGCGCTTTCTTGCAACGAACTCCAACTGTCAAGATAAACTTTAAGCCAGTTCAGGGTGGGACAAGGTGCTTTATCTAAAAATATACATTGTTGATTAAAACAGGCAGCAAATAGCATGCAGTTTCTGTCACACATCGGCCTTAACCTGCCTCCTGCTCCCGTCGGCAGTGATCTTTCTTGTCCGTGGCTGCTAAGCACACTGCTAGACTGAAAACATCTCTTTCTGTTAATTCCTGCCTTGCGCAGAATTCCAAGGCAAACTGCTTGATTAGAGGTAGACCCGAATACGTCCTGCTGATATAGTGCACTCAAACTAAACGAAGTAAGTCACTGACAACCTTAGCATCCGAATTTCCACCGCCGTCCTGGCATAGAATACTTAAACACATGCGGATGCAATATTTTCTGCTATATTAATCTACAGCGTGCCTAACTCTTCTAAGCTTATGCTAAGCCCACGACATTCTGGCACACCACCAAGCTGTCCCGGCCCCGGCTGCCAACCTCTGAAGCCATGCTGTATTACGTAACACGCGTCCGGGTAGCCGGTTAAATACCCTTCCCTCGAGTGAGGGTTTGGGGTCAGCTTGGCCTCTGAAATCTAAAAAACTAAGAAAGCTAAAGATAATTGATTACGAGGGTGTTGGCCTGTACGTGAAATCACTTGTGTCAAAATTTGAAGTTCCTAGGCTATGGTCTTTGGGTCTAATAAGGTCAAGCAAGATCAAACTTCAAAATGGTCTCCGAAGTGAACCCAGACCTTCTCAAGCAACCACCGTGAACCGAGATACTTTTCCCAGGCAAAGGGTCACTGGCCTCATATAAGATAAGTGGCCTTGTTCGATCTAAAAAAGGCCATAGTGGCCAAAATCGTACAAAATTGCTTCTTGATTTTAGCATTTCAATAGGCGTCAACGATAACGCTAGGTGATTGTTTCTAAGAAAACAAGTGTTGACCTGGGTCATTTTAGGCAAGTGACCTATTCTGGCCTTCAAGATGCCCACGGAAGATGCATAATGCCGTTTCTGTTTTGAAAAATTCAAAATGATAACCAGAAACTACTCAATACAGCAAGCTATCGAGTAAAAAACAGGCTGGTTTTGACCTTGGTCCGGGGGCGGATGCATAGGGGACCACGGGGCCATGCCCCCTTAGGGCCGAAAAGGGCCCACTGGCTTTATGTATGCATACATATGTGTGTATAGAGAGAGAGAGAGAGAGAGAGAGAGAGAGAGAGAGAGAGAGAGGAGAGAGGAGAGAGAGAGAAGAAGAGAGAGCCCAGAGCCCGTATACACATATA